TTATTGTCATTGTAAGTATATACACATACAACGAAATTCACAATTCACATTTAGGGAGGCAATCAATCTTGTATTTGGTTTTCTTCTTCTTTTTGTACCCTTTCTCAGCTTTATTGTCTTTTCCAGAGAAACATGCCTTGTCGTTATGTGCCCAAAGTACCTATAACAGCCTGCTTCATAATTTTTGCCTCCAGAGGTAGTTTAGGCTTGATTTGCTCTTAGACCCACTTGTTTGTATTTCTCCAAATATGATCACTCTTCAGGCCCAGCTCCTGTTGCTTCTTTTACCATCTGCTAATGAAAGGATGTGCACGTTTCTAACCAGGACAGCCATTACTTGATTGTAATATTTGCAATGGCTTTTCGTTCAGCTGGAAGAGTTAGTAATGCTCCTTTTCATTTAGTCAGGAATCTTGAAATTTTCAATTCATATTTTTAGCAAGCTAGAAAAGTGTTCACACAGTTTTTATTGGTGCCCTTATTTGATTCTTGTGCATACTTGCCCTGGAATCTAAAGATATGAAGTACAAAACTGTTAACTGACTACTTCTTATAATACTGTACTTGTTCTCCTTTTCATACAGTCTGTACTCTTCCACTTCCTGGAGGCTATTCTGGAGGGCTTCACCAGTCACCTGTTTTCCACCACCATCATTAGCAATTAGTAATGTGAATTGGGCTCCTGTGAGGAATCGTGTTGTGGGTAAAAAAGGAATAAGTTTTTTTTGGGGGGGAATCCACAACACCCTGATCCCAACTCGATCAGGTAAACTGCACACAATCTCAGAATATGCCTATTGAAACACACATCACACCACTGTCCTCCTCATAACCACAAATCTGATGCTCAACCTTTCCCAACAATTTTCTGGGAAATGAGCAGGGTGGAGAAAAACGAAACCCCATCCAGTTTGGTCATCTGTGCCAAAATCCTGTAATGTGGCATTAATGGTCTTTCGGCCCCAAGATGATTTATTGTCATCATAATCACATGCCATCAACTCTGATTTATGTTGACCCTTTCAGGGTTTTCCACGTTCAAAGTACAGTAGTACTTTGGTTTACGAATGCCTCGGTTAATGTAATTTTCAGTTTATGAACAAAAATCCATTGAAAATAATGCCTCAGTTGACGGGGGTTTTCCGCAGTACGAAGGAAGTTTCCCCAGGATGCATTGTGCCTGGAGGTTTATAGTGCGGCCCCTATTCCTATGGCAATCTGCATTTCGGTTTATGAATTTTCCGCATTACGTAATGTCCCATAGAATGCATTACATCCGTAAATTGATGTACTACTGTACTCAGAAGTGGTTTACTATCTCCTCCTTCTGGGGGCATTCTGCGACTGTGCAGCTTGCCCAAGGCCACATAGGCTGACTCTACTGGAAAGAGGCCCAGTGGGGAATTGAATTCCCAACTCTGCAGACAGATACCTAAACTGCAGAGCTATTGAGCCAGCCAATCTAAAACAGAGCTGCAAATTGTGCCACTCTCTCATCCATGCCTTATTCATTCGGTTCATTTTGTATATAAGCAACACTAGTAAGCTAATAAGAGGCTAGTGATTGTCTGGATTACTCTGAAGTGACTGCACAAATTGACAGACAAACTGGCTACTTTTACTATCATTACTATGACATTTATTTTCTGGAAAATGATTCAGATTGTCTTTTAACAGATAACTTTTATGGAAGGTTGCAGAGAGATAGGCTGATCTTTTAACCCAGAGGAGACCTGGCTTTGTACAGATTTCTAGAGCAGGGCTGGTGAACATCAATCAATCAATCAATCAATAAATAAGACACGTGGTTAGAAGGCAGAAGCGGTTTGAGAAAAGAGGGCAACATCATTCCTGGCAACGTGGGCCCTTCCCCACTGTTCGTCTCCTCTGAAGAGATCTTGCAGGCTTTGGTGTAAGAATACCCGAAGCCCGTTTAACCAAGAACTGCCCCGTAAAATATTGTGCATAAATTACATGCAGCAGGAATACAAGACAAGCAGCGATTGTCTCAAGTCTTTTTACAAGCTTCATTTTCTCCCTCCCATATTCCCATCAGCACAACATCCTGTTCAATGTCTTCCCTGCCCAGAAATAGCTCTGCTCTCCTTCTGCCCCCGCGTCTGTCTTCTCCGGCCCCCCCACGTTACCTCGTCCTCGACACCCGTCTTCATGGTCCCCCTTTTTGGACCGGAACCTTTCAACGATGCCTCTTGTTCCTTAGCGGCGGTGCGCTTTGGGGGAGGAACTGCTTGCCTCTACTTCGTGTCACGTGACCGAGGCCGAGTCTGGTTCTTATCGAGACAGACACACAGCCCTTCCAATCGATTGTTCGAGGGCATAGATGGATGGCCGGGTGGCATTTACTGAATTTTATTTTAACCCCGCCATTCTTCTTAAAAAGGACGCAAGACGGCTTACGTCCTAGAAAGGCCCGTCAGGTCTAGAGATGGGCACCAACCACTGGTTCAGTGCAGTATGTTTCCCAACTAAACAGCTGGTCCATGGTTTGACATCCCACCCCCTTCAACAGGTGCCCCATCCAGAGATATGATCATTCCCTTCATCTGAAGGTGCTTAGATACATTAAACCTTATGAAAATTAAACACTTAGCTAGTCTTATAGGTTGTTGTTGCTATGGGCCATCAAGTCATCTCTGACTCATGGCGACCCCAGATTTAAAGCTGAAAACAATGAGTGTACAACGGTGGTTTACATCATTATAGGGCAATGTTTAAAACTAAGAACAATGAATAAAAAGAGGCAGCTTTTCTTTTTTGACTGTGATTGCAGTGAGAAGGGAGCGTCTTTTTAAAACCAGCAGAGAGAGAAATCCTCAAATAAGGCTTTGGCAGTTTTCTTTTCTCCCTGTTCCTTTCCCTCCCCACTTCCCAGACCGCCACCGTCTCATATCCTAAAATTAGGTACCCTAAGATGATGCCTTCTCTGACAGCTGCCATTTTCGTCTGCCTCAATATGTGAGCGAAATAAAAGAAAAATATTGTAGCACTTTAACGAGTAACAAGTGGGTTTTGACTCTGGGAAGCCCACTCTGAAATCAAGCCATTCGTCTTTAAAATGCTGGCACGTTTTCCCGTTCTTCCCCTCTTTTCTTATTTCTGAGGAAGTTTACCCTACCTTTTGTTGGCATTGCTCATCTACTAGTCTATACCTGACAAAGGAGAGAAGGAGATGCTCTGCCCTGAAGTGCTTACACATAAAATTTAGTGGATTTGGCCACAGACCATCTATCAGTGGCAAAACACCTATTCTGCAAGCAGCCACATGGGTTGGGGAGATAGAATGGAGGCTTCTCTGTTTTACACCCAAGAACAGTGTGGGCATAGGGCAGGTCATTTCCTATACCTTAAGAAAGGCCATCACTGGCTTAAAATAGGCCTGGGTGGAGCAAAATTGTATTTAGATGGCAAGTCACACACCCCAGATGTTTTTTGGTGATGCAGTTTGACATTTGAGAGGACTATCTTTCCCCCCACCCCAGGTTTAAAGGGGCAGAAAGGGGGTATGGCCCACCAAGGTTGGGGAAAAGCAGAAATCCCCCACCCCCATGCAGCAGGGTTGGCCCACCAGGGACTAAAAGTACTTCATGTGACAGACAGCGATCCAGACACTGATCTAAGCAAGGAACAGGCATGATGAACTCACAGTATTCCTTATCAAAACATTATGGCTAAGATGGTTCATAAGGAATCTACAGGACCATGTCAAGGTGAAACATCTTGCATTAGGAAAGCACGTCACTAATAAATTGAGTTCTCATTGCTAATACCAATCTTCTATTGTTTCGTAACAACTGGATAGGGAGCTAAAAAAACTTCTGAAAGTCAAAGGTTTCTTGAATTGACTCCATAAAACAAGAAGAAATGAAACTCACAAAAGCTTCGAAGTACAAGCAGACTCAGATGAGACCAGTAACAGTGGCACTTGGGGAATTCAGATCCAATCAGTTTATTGCTCATTAGCCAACTGGGATCTCTGCATATGCAACATAATTTCAAACATAAGATGCCTAACAATGTACACAACAAATCAACTAAGCCAGAATTAAATAAACACAGACTCTTCATTAAAATGGCACTATTAGCCCTCATAAAATACACAACCTCCTCTTCCTTATAAGTCAAAATGGCAAGATTAGCAGACATGTATGTTGTAAAAGAATCTGTCCCAAACATAGTTAAAGTAACTGTAGTAGACTTTACCTAGTGTAACATTTAGCTATAATCTGGAAAACTGCTATGACTCAGACATTTTACAATATCTGCTCAGGCATGTAATGAAAAGACCCAGTTTGGAACCAAGTGAGTTTGTTTTGTTCAAATAACAGCAATACAAAAGGTGAGGCCTGCTGGAAATATAGCTCAAGGCAGAAGGACACTTTTGCCTTTCCCCCCTAATATTATTATTATCAGGCTATCACCAGTCAAAGAACTGCCCTGGAGTAGATCTGGGAACACTCAGTGCTCTAGTCAAGAATAATTTCTTTATTGCCTTCAAAACGCTTGTTTCTGAAAGAGCCTCCTTCAGGGGTTGCATACAACATGTTTGGCAAAAACAAACAAACAATTATTTAAAAATGGATCACCTGACTTGTGGCTAGTCTGGGTAGCTCAGTGAGTTAGGAGTTTAATTCCCCACTATGCCTTCCAGAAGAGCCAGCCTGTCCCAGGGTTTCCCTAGAAGAAGGGACTGATAAAATGTGGTCTGCTTCTGAAATTAATTTTAGACATTCTTCCAGGTAAACCAGATGGCAAGATATATGAAAGAACACACGTGCTATCTTAGGCACAACTATAAGGCAACAAAACCAAGGAGATCAGCTCATCCCTCATTTTTATCTGTCCTTCTGTTGAAAATGGTCGAGTCCACTGTTACAAGGGCTCTTTCATGGGTTACTGTCATCGGTTGTTACAATACAACATCAGAAAAATAGCACATTTAAGGGATGGCTATAAAATACATAATCAAAACATCTTTTTCAAATATGTGGTACAATGAAGTATAGACCAAGAGTCTGTTCCCTGAAATACCAGCAGGAAAAGGGGCCTTTAAAATGAAAAAGTACATACTTCTTGCAGATAATCCTGGAAGGCAGTTCATGTTAACCATAACAATATGTTCACTATCTCTGTATATTTTAGCTCTGCTTCAGAAACAGGGCCTTTTCCTACTGTTTGTGTCCTCCATTGTTTCTTTTTTGTAGTAAGAAGGAACTAAAGGATTTAATGCAGCAAATAATTACCATTCATTAAGATGCCATTTTTGAGTGCTAATTATGAGTGCTAATTATGCCAAATATTAATTCAGGTCAACTGGGTCTATTTGCAATGCAGGGAGGATTGGAAAATTTTTCAGAATGATGCTTCTTTGTGTAGGTAACAAAGTTCTGCATTGAATACATGTTATCTCCTTCATGGTCCCAATGTGGATCAAGTCCACTCAGAGCTCAGAACAGCTATCTCTTTCCCTTTTTTAACAACTATCAGATTCTCTCAGCCAGCATGGCCACCAAAAGGTAGAAGGTATATTCCACATAGTAAGTTTTCCAAGTTTGTAGGTCCTAATAGCTCTTCTGTGTGCTAGCCTTCACTCCCCACATGCATCAATGAGCCTTGGACACCTGCAACCCTGCCATCAGTTCACCGGTTGTCCCTCATGGCACCACTTTTGATAGGTACTAACCACTGAATATCGGGAACACCCCACAAGACTTGTCGTTTTGGAGATGCTCTGACCCATTCGTCTAGCCATCACTATTTGGCCCTTGTCAAAGTCAGTCAGATTTTTTCACTTGCCCATGTTTCCTGCCTCCATGAAAGTCAAGAACGGACTGTTTACTTGCTGCCTAATATCTCCCATCCCTTGGCAGGTGCCATTGTAATGATATAATCAATGCTATTTACTCCACCTGTCAGTGGTTTGAATGTTGTGGCTGATCAGTGTAAGTTCCATTGATTCAAACAGGCCTATCTGAGCTGCGACTTACTATGCTAAACAATGGATTTCAGCCGGTGTAGTGTAGCAGGAAAAGCAACAGACTAGGACTTAGGAGAACTGGGTTTGAACCCCCCCCCCCTTGGAAACTCACAGTAAAACCACTGCTCAAATATCTCACCTACTTTGAAAAGAAAACCCTGTTAGGACCACTATTAATTGGAGGTGGACAGTACATAAGCCACACATATGTTAGCCCATCTGTGTATATTTGTCTAAACTGTCACCACCATGGTATGTTTTATGACTATTGTGTGGACATTTTCTGGTTTTTGCACTTCTGCTCCTGCCACGCTCTCACTCATTCATTCCCCAGCTTCTCCCAATAACTGGAGTTAAAGTTCAGGTTCATCCTGCATCTACTCTGTATGCCTCTTCCCTTTCCTCAGCTTGTGATTGTTCAAGAAGGTATTTCCCAAACTAAGGGCACATATGAGGTTTCCCACCCGAGTGGATCTGCCTGCAGATTGCTAAATTTTTGCAGTAAAGAAAACATTTTCCACAGTGGATGCCAATACAGTTACTCTCTTGCTAATTAAAATGCCAATTCTCACTAGCTGAGTTGTGAGGAAGATTTTTTTTCCATGCTATGTTTATTTATGCCATCTCCCCCTTAAAATCATTCTGTGGCTTCAGCATAGTTGTGGAGGCTTTGGTACGTGACCTTTGGCAATCAAGACGTAGATAATTGGACAATCATCTGTTAGATCTGCTTAGATATAGATTCCTGCATTGAGCAGGGGGGCGGATTTGATGGCCTTATAGGCCCCTTCCAACTTCACTTTTTTATCATGTTTCTTTTTGCTATGTGGGTTATCTGAGACTACTTGGTGATCTAAATAACATTTTCCATACTAATTTGAATGGTTTCCCCATGCGTGGACTTTCTGATACCTCATAAGAAGTGCATTGTCAGCAGTTCTTATTTCCCACATTCTTGACATTTATTTGATAATCTGTGTAGACATGGTGCTTTGCCTTGAGCACTCCTGGCATCTAGAAGTCCCTCTCCTGTGTAACCTATAGTATGTCATGCTTTACATTTCTTGTGGGGATGGCCTGATTACCCTACATGTTCTCCCCTGACAGGAAAACACATGTATGGACTCTCTGGTGTCTCAAAAATTGTGAACTGTGAGGAAAACATTATCCACATGCCTGGCATTAGTATGGTTCTTCTGCTATGTGACCTCTTTGGTGAGTAAACAGGTCTGAATTGCGTGCAAAACGTTTTCCACACTCTGGGCATTTGTATGGCCTCTCTCCTGTGTGGACTGTCTGATGTCTCACAAGGTGCACATTCTGAGCAAAACATTTCCCACATTCCAAGCATTTGTATGGTTTATCTGTAGCGTGGATTATCTGATGTTTCAAAAGAGCTGAACTGAAAATAAAGCCTTTCCCACATAACTGGCATTTGTATGGTTTCTCCCCTGTGTGAATTCGCTGATGCTTCATAAGGCTTGCACTGGAAATGAAACATTTCTCACAGTCCTGACATTTGTATGGTCTTTCTCCTGTGTGGCCTCTCTGATGCATCAATAGGTGTGAATTCTGAGCAAAAGAATTCCTGCATATTTGACATTGGTATGGTTTCTCTCCTGTGTGGATTCTCTCATGCTTCACAAGACTTGTACGGCAAATAAAACATTTCCCACACTCTAGGCATTTGTATGGTTTCTCTCCTATGTGGATCCGTTGATGCTTCACAAGGCTTGCACTGGAAACAAAACATTTCCCACACTCTAGACATCGGAATGGTTTTTCTCCGGTGTGGAGTGTGAGATGCCTCACAAGGTATGAATTCTGACCAAAACATTTCCCACACTCCTGACATCCATATGGTTTTTCTCCTATATGGACTCCCTGATGTTTCACAAGGTTTGTATTGCAAGCAAAACACTTCCCACATTCTTGGCATTTGTATGGTTTTTCTCCTGTGTGGACTGCATGATGCCTCATAAGATGTGAATTCTGAGCAAAACACTTCCCACACTCCTGGCATTTGTATGGTTTCTCTCCTGTGTGGACTCCCTGATGCTTTACAAGGTTTGTATTACAAGCGAAACACTTCCCACACTCTTGGCATTTGTATGGTTTTTCTCCTGTATGGACTGTGTGATGTCTCATAAGATGTGACTTTTGAGCAAAACATCTCCCACACGCCTGACATTTGTACGGTTTATCTCTTGTGTGGATTGTCTGGTGCTTCGAAAGGGCTGAACTAGAAGCAAAACATTTCCCACAGAGCTGGCATATGTGTGGTTTTTCTCCTGTGTGGACTCTTCGGTGCATCATGAGGTTTGAATTGCAAGAAAAGCATTTCCCACATTCCTGGCAACTGTATGGTTTTTCTCCTGTGTGGACTCTTTGGTGCCTTGGAAGGTCTGACCTGTGAGCAAAACATTTCCCACACTCCTGGCATTTGTAGGGTTTCTCCTCTATGGCCATTGTCTGTTGGCTCTTAAGATTCAAAATGTTGGCAAAATATTTCCGAGATTCGTCACATCCAAAATATTTATTTTTTGTGTTGACCCACTCATGAAGCACAACAGCTATCTTTTGGGAGAAATAGTCAGGACAGTTGTAGGGCTCCACTCCGGTATGATTTTCTTCTCTTTGGGCTTGCTGTGGTCTAGAAAGATCCAGAATGGATGTAGAACATTTCCTACACTTTGTGGACGGAGATCTTTTCCTCCAGTTATCTGTTGGGAAGAAGGAAAAGCATAAATGAGCCGGTATTCCCAGTTCTGACTAAGGAGAAAACTGAGGGAGTAGAGAAAACAGTGTGGAAATCATGAAGGGAAAAATAAATGCCAAGAATCCAGTTGAATAATTACACTCAATGGCTCAATAATACACTGAATAGAAGCCAATAGTGCAATATGGCTGTAAAAAAATAAATGCTATTTTAGGCTGCATTAAGAAAAGTACAGTCTCCAAACCATGTGGAGTTGACCCAACTCCGGGAGGCAGTGGAAGACAGGAGGGACTGGCATCCTCTGGCCCATGGGGTCACAAACAGTCGGACACGACTTAACGACTAAACAACAACAACTACTACATGTTTTCCCCCTTTGTTGTCTCTGAAGATTCAGGTGGCAAGAAATTTTAAGAACTGTTTTAGTCCTTTTAGATCTTAGCATGCTTTCATCTCACTGCTGGTTTTATTTTGGCTTCACATGCTGAGTGTTTTCGTGAAACACCATTTCCCTTGTAAACAAGTGCTCCCCCTTGATTTTACACAGTCAATTTGGCAATATAATGTGGGGGTGGTGGGTTGAAAGGGTGTTAGTATGGCCTCTACTCCTTGGTATTTGACTGGCATGACTCTGCGGTGAACCTCCATTATGATGGCTGTTAAAGACAAGAGGTTTTCTAAGCAAGTTCAAGTAGGGGTTTTTTACCCAAAAAGCTGCTTGATCCCAGATCCATGATTTCCACTTGCTCCACGTCCAGAGGATTCTGTACACACAGCTCTTCCTCCTGCTCCATATGGGAAATACGTTCAGATTTTGGAACTGGGAGATAAGAAGGAAACGAGGGATATCAGGAATAAGTTGTAAAATGTTTCTGTGCATTTTTAAAATGTTCACATTATATATATTAAATCTCATTGCAAGCCACATGGTTCATTAATTGTATCTGTTTTTTTAAATATATAGCAAAAGAAATATTACAAACATGTCAACAAAGGTTTTGGGAGCACAACATCCTTAAGTTCCTTCCTTGATTAACTGTCTTGAACTTGTTAATAGTAACAGATTACATGTCGGGGACAAGAGATATAAAAAAAGATGGTAGCATCTAGCCAACAGGGAAAAAATATTCAGTTGAAATGTGGTGCTGGGGGAGAGCTTTACAGATACTGTACCCTATAAAGAAAGATGAACAAGTGGGTCCTAGATGAAATCAAGCCTGAACTATCTCTGGAACCAAAAATGTTGAAACTGAAGCTGTCCTATTTTTGGCACATCATGAGAAGGCGGGATTCTGTGGAAAAGCCCTTAATGCTTGGTAAGGCAGCAGGAAAAGAGGAAGACCAAATACGAGATGAACTAACTCCCTGAAGGAAGCCTCGGGCTTGAGTCTCCAAGAGCTGAGCAGGACAGTTGAGGACAGGCATTTTTGAGGTTGCTCATTCACATTAGGTTGCCATAAGTCAAAGGCAACTTGATGGCACAGAATAACAACAGTTATGGAGCCATACGAGAACTAAAATGCTGCAAGGACCTTCCAGGATTGTCTCATGCTGTTGTGAAAAATCCACAGCTGTAGAACTCCTGAGGGATGACCATCCAGCCTCTGTTAAAAATGGGCCATTAAGGAAAATTCACACACTCTTCTAGTTCATCCCAGGGTCAAATAGCTCCTGCCACCAGGATATTGTTCCAAATGTTTCACTGATATCTTGTTTCATGTACAGTGGTGCCTCACTTGATGGCGATAATCCATTTCAGCAAAAACACTGTACAATGAAATTGTCATCAAGCAAAAGTAAAAAACCCATTAGAATGCATTAAAAACTGGTTAATGCGTTCTAATGGGCAAAATATCTCATCGTCCAATGAAGATCCTCCATAGGGTGGCCATTTTCCGGTGCCTGTAAAGCGAAAAAGCCCTCCTAAACACAGCGGGGAGCCGTTTTGCACAGTGGACGGCCATTTTGAAACCCGATGATCAGCTGTTTTCTGATCGTCGTTAAGCGAAAAATCGGTTCCCAAAGCAGGGAACCAATCATCGTTAAGCGAAAAAAGCCCTTTGAAACATCGTTTTGCGATCGCAATAGCGGTCACAAAAACATCATTGAGAAGTGATTTCATCATATAACGAGGTAATAGTCAAGAATAGACTAGTATGGCTGTTAGCTTCTGGCACAAGCAAAAGCACATTTCCTCCACCTTCCATGTGGTGGCGCTTAACATATTTGAAGAGGACAATCATGTCACCTTTCAGTCATCCCTAATGCAGGCTGAGCAGATTCACCTCCCTTAAACATTTCTCATAGGACTTGATTTCTGGACACTTTATAAAAATCTAGGGTCATCAAAAAGCTTTGTATGCAGCTACCCCACTTTCTACAGATGTTTCCTACTCTTCTTGAAAACACTGGAATTCCTTTCAATTAGAATTTCCACACCTCACTTTTAAGCAAGAAATCAGTATTGTGAACTTACTTCTTTTTCAGCATTTCTCACATACCTAGTGTAACATTCTAATCCCAGGGAGGCATCCCTTCTCACTATTTTCACTCTCTAGTGAGTTATACACTGCCCAGACACCACAAGGTACCTCACTGGTGCCTTCACCTTAAAATCTAATAGCTTCTTCTTGATCACATTAGGTTTGGCATTAACCAGCCCCCAAGCTGGCCCAAAGTGTTGCGGATTGCCCCATTCTCTGGGCTAACCCAACAATGCCTTCTAGCTGCAGTTGGGATCAATATTATTCGGTTTTCAAGTGAAAAGGTTTGTTCCTGTACACTTTGTGTCTTCTTCAAGTCTTGATACTGCGTTGCCTAAATTGACGTAGGTGTTCCACTCCCTCTTCTCTCTAACTGCTAACATTTTAAAATGTTACTTATGAATCAATAAAGAAAATAGTTTTTTCTAGGACTCAAACACAAGGAGTTTATTAGGGAAATACAGGGATCAAGATAGAAGGGAAGAGTCATTTATCAGGTACACTAACCTGAAATGCAAAAGATTAATAAACTTCATATTCCTCTTTTCCTGCAGTCTTGAACCTTCTCCAACTTTATCGTAAGCGAAATGTAGCAGGGCTAAACTCCCTAATTATCATTACATGGTTGTTGTATTTGATTTCAAAGACTATATCCATCCTGAAAACAATGCTATGTTTTGTTTATTCATTTGTTTTAATATCTGCTGTTGTTATTTCATAATGTTATATTTTATTTGCTCAGCGTGCTTTGCTTTGGAGTGGTACAGAAGCTTAAAACAAATTTTAAAATGTTAGGTAAAGAAAAGGAAGTTAGGTTCGCTGGCATCAAACTCCCTTACACCAGACCTTCTACCCATTTAATCCAGACAAGCCAGTTAGCACCACAATGATATCTGTATTTACACAGGAGAAGAACGGAACTCTACCCATTTAATCCAGACAAGCCAGTTAGCCCCATAATGATATCTGCATTTACACAGGAGGAGAACATAACTGTATATAGTTAAACCAGAGCCAGCCAAGGACATTTTGCTGCCTGAGGCACACGGATTCCCCTCACTCATGCAAATCAAGGCGCAGAGTGCTGAAAGCCAGTCAAGTTATTTTACTTCGCAATGCGATGTTTTTTTCAACAGCTGATCGGCGGTTCCAAAATGGCTGCCGCGCGCCCAAAATGGCCACCGCAACCATTTTTGCGCCTTGCCCTCGCTTATCGAGGGTGCGAAAATGGCGGCGCTATGGAGGATCCTCACTGAACTGTGAGTTTAGGGCCCCATAGGAATGCATTAAACTAAGTTTAATGTGTTTCTATGGGGTTTTTCGATCCGTTTAGCGACGATTCCACATAGCAACGATTAATCCGGAATGGATTAACATCGCTATGTGGGGCACCACTGTATAGTTAAACTGGAGCCAGAAAAAGACATTTTGCTGCCTGAGCCACACGCCTTCCCCTCAATCATGCAAATCAAGGCGTAGAGTGCTCAAAGCCAGTCAAGTTATTTTGTTACCTGAGGCGAAAACCCTACAAACCATCTCACCTGTTCCTGACAGTAAAAGGTTTTAACAAGCATTAGCAGGCCATTTTATGCCCAATCCTGAGGCCCCATGTTCCTTCCTCCAGGAATGTATCAGGACAACTGGTAAAGGATCAGGATAACTCTTCCATTACTATTGTATCTCCCCTTTTGAAATGTCTGTAAATCTGATTTAGGCTGAGACCATCAAAGTTTTCTGTCTGGGTTGGAGAACAGACTTCAGAAGGAACGCTGCAATCCTAAGTAGGTAAACAATGGATTCAGAACAATGCTTACCAAGAGAGAACACCGTCTCATAGTTTTCCATCATGACTTCCTTGTATAAAGATCTTTGGTCTGAAGCCAGCAATACCCACTCCTCCTTGGTGAAACACACGGCCACATCCTCAAAGGTCACCAGTTTCTGAAACACATTCCCCCCCCCCAAAAAAAAACCCAATCAGAGTTTGGTGTGGATAATAATATTACCTAATTGCCACAAATGTCTGGCTAGGTTTTTGAGTGAAAAGACAATGTGACATGTTCGTGCATGGAAAAGAAATCTCTGCAGGATCTGTCAGTTACATTCTTGTGGAGTTAGAGCAAAATTTAGAAACTGTGGTGCAAAACACTGCAAAGCTGCCCCATTTTTTTTGAGTGGAAATGGCCAATTTGTTTTTAGGATGCTCATTAAGACTCCATGCTGGGTACATCAATTATACGGTTGTTGGGGGGGAAGTGCAAAACATAGGATGTGCAGTGCAGAAAATGGTGGTTCCCAACCTTGGGTAAAGCAGGTATTCTTGGACTTCAACTCCCAGAAGCCTTCACCACCAACTGTGCTGGCCGAGGTTTCTGGGAGCTGCAGTCCGAGAACACCTGGGTAACCCAAGGTTGGGCGTGACTGGTAGAAAACTAATGTGAGGGAAGATGTCAGGAGTTCCCAATGGCTCAGAGGGCATGAACATTAACCTGCAAAAAGGGTAATTTCCTTGGCGTTCCCTCCAGTTCTTATCTCGGGAAGGAGGCATTTGAGGGACATTTTATTCTCTGAGTCTGGAGCCAAGACATCCCTCTCTCAGATCTCACAACAGCTGCAGATGATATGCATGAAGGTGTTTCACATTGGTTGTTGTGGGTTTTTCGGGCTCTTTGGCTATGTTCTGAAGGTTGTTCTTCCTAACGTTTCTCCAGTCTCTGTGGCCGGCATCTTCAGAGGGCAGGACTCTGTGCTCTGGTGCAGTTTGTTTGGGAGTTGAGTATTTATGGCTGTGAGATCAGCTTTTGTCCTTTTCAGGAGATGAGTGATTATGGTAGATATGGTGTTTCACATTCCTCACCACGCTCTCAGTGGCCCCTCCTGAGAACCTCCTACCTGAGTTTCTTCCACCATCACCCTTTTCTCTTCCTTCCTTCTGGAGAAAGATTGACATCCCGCTGCACACTCTGCAAAGGGAAGAAGAGCAAGTCAGAGAGCAGACCTTTCAGAACTGCACCACTTGTCTACTAGAGCAGTGGTTCTTAACCTTTGTTACTCGGATGTTTTTGAACTGCAACTCCCAGAAACCCCAGCCAGCACAGTTGGTGGTGAAGGCTTCTGGGAGTTGCAGTCCAAAACTCCTGAGTAACCCAAGGTTAAGAACCAGTGTACTAGAGAAGCCCTCTTGTCTGCAACAGAAGGCTTACCAGGAAGGGGGGCGGGGAAGAAAGGAAAAAAAGTCTGAACTTCTCACAAATATTCCCTTGTAACGTTTTAGAGAGAAATATAAGGCCCCTCCAGATACTTAGCCACACACACATGTAAAGAGAAAAAAGCAACCAGGAGAGGGGTTGGAGGGGTGTGCAAAAACACCCATCCCATGCTCATCAGGTTACCGCTAATACATATGCAAAGCAATGCCAGTGCCACGTCACAAAGTGATGTTCATTGTCCTGGCACGGGTAAGGCATGGGTGGCATTGTTCATAATCAAGTACAGGCTGCAGAAAAAATTGCCTGAGCAAAATGATGCTGTAACAGGAGTACTCGAGACATACACAATGGCTACACTGTGGCTACCCTTGTTCTATTCCCTTTTCCATCTCCGGTAGGTAATAGTTTATCTAGCGATCTATTGATTGATCGATCGATTTAAGTTCAGCCCTGTCATGGAGGCACAGTGGAGATCTGAATTCCCAACCTCTGGCTCTGCATCCAGAGAGCTAAACCCCTCAGATATTTGAGTTATATACCACTTCCTAGTGGACACACTACTCTGTGCAGTTTACAGATTAAAAACCGCAGCATGCCACACCTATCTTTGAACCGGTCCTGCCTTCCTCACCATACCTGACACACTCCGGTTGCAGACATGCCCATTTTCTACGGAACCGGCCATCTGGTGAGGATGCTTGATTGCTACACTGCAGCTTCCAAGACTTCAAAGCGTGCCAGGTGTGGATGTCATGCAGTACTGTCCCGTTAGAGGCAGAGAAACAGAGAGAGAGACCTTTGTGAAACGGAGAACCGTGGGTCAAATGATGACATTTCTTTTCTTACGCAAAAGACACATCTGGGGAGGTGGTGATGCACAGGAAAAAGCCAAACCATCTCCCCACATCTTCCGTTTTACCACTTCCATTCCAGTGCAGTTTCTGGTCTCAGGGCTGGCAGACGGACGACTGGACGTGGGCAACGGGTTCTATCCTGCACATCGGAGGGAAATGTGGGCGATCATTCAAGACTGGCCTCTCTGGAGCTTTGGTCCACCCTCCAATCGTCCCTCCCAGTGCCCAGCCTAGAGGATATCTATTAAAGCACTGATAAACCCCGTCTTTCCAGCAAATGGACCTCAAGATGGCTAAGAGCATCCCATAATAAAGACAACCATTAACCAGTGCCCAAGAGAAGAGCC